GAAAACACGCAGGTTGGATGTGATTGGCTCATCTACAGTGTCTCTTTCTTTTCCAAGGGACTTCATGTTTTGGGGGATTGGTGCCAGTAAATCCGTGCTTGGCTCTGGATCTAGACAGAAGCAGGAATAGGAAGGTACAGCGGACTCCAGCTGTCCCAGGTGGGACGTCCTGTGAACGGGGCCAGGTGCCAGACTCACCGACAGCGGGCTGGGCTGGGCGTATTTGTCCTTTTCCAACCTGGTGAAGTTAAAGCTGCCAAAGAGCCCATCGTTGATGTGGTAGACAAGATGCCTCTCGCCTGCAGAGAGAAGCTTCAGCTGTCAAACCAAAGACCTGGGCTGAGTCTGCAGAGACTGTTCACACCAGAGGACACTCAGTCACGAACACGGACTGAGATCCGTGTCGGGTCTTGTAGTAGACCCTATGCAATGCAGTAAGAGCTGGAGAAAACAGGAGCTGGTCTTTAAACAATAAAGCTAAGAGGGTACACCTGGAGAGCTTTAACAATCACAAGGACAATAATGGAAGCAGTGGAGCGCCCTCTAGGGAGGGATCCCGGGCGTGACACACTCAGCCTCAGCATCTCCTGTCTCCTGGGTATTGTTCCAACCTGGGTAGTCAATCAGACTTTTAATCTTAAGAGTTTCTACATTAGATATATACAGGTTTTTCTTAACTTTTTTTAGGACTGATTCTACAGGTCAAAGCCTTAAATAAAGCCACAGCTAATTACAAAATCTATTTATGAAACAAAACACCTATGAGAAGCATTACAGTAAAGAAGCTAATTAAATAATTAGACCAACAATGAAACTGAGATTCTGTCTGGAATAAAAACCGAAGACTTCTGTTATATATCTCTGTGATATATTTTATCTATTTGACAAAAGCTTTGCCTCAAACCCCAGGAACGATTTGAACCATGCGTCCCAATGCCTCCTGGAAAATGTAGTTTTCTCCACTCTACGTCTGCATAGTCTTCTCAGTTCACAAACAAAACAACACGTTTCCCTCAGCCTGTCAATGTGGGATACCCCCTTCAGACTAAAGAGACTCAGTTCCTTCAGCCTGTCAGAGGACATATTAGGATGTAGTACATTCTCTGAAACCCCAATTATTTTAACCCTGAAGTTAGCGTCACTGAAACACCTCTCAGGGCTCTGTGCTCTGGAGCTGTTACACTTTCAGAGCAACTTTAACCTGGAGAAACAG